TTTGACATGTCAAAAAAGTACTCCAGAGTGTTGTACAGCATGGAGGTGAGTAGAAAATGAAGGATAATCATGTTTTCGGTGTACTATTCCTTTAATGCCTCCATATCTGGGTCAGGTTTTTTTACCCCTGCACCACTGCTATGCTCAAGAAAAGTAAATTATTCTTTATCAGGTTTAGAAAAAATTTTAATTTGACCTCAAATGTTCAAAAAACACACAATCCCTTTATTCTATGTATGATTCTTAGTTCAATCTGTTTTCTGTTTGATGTTTATCAAGAAAGACTTCTCTGAAGTGGAAAACCCTGCCAATTTCTCCTAGGAGCGTTATGAAAAGAGCAATAAGAAGTTCACGCCCTGATCTGACGGAACATTGCTCAATCTAAGACAGTAAAGTTAGCAGGTCTAACAAGTTTATCAATCAAAACTGGACAGAAAAGAGAAGTTGGAGATGTTTATCTAAGATATACGGCACCAAGTCTGGTAAAAATCAGACCCAGAATTAAGGGTGGGTATTGGCATGGGTGTTGTGATACGACATGTCTCACGATACTTGGGTCCAGTTACAATATCACAATATTGCAATATGCCTATATATTGTGATATTTTACCCAGCTATCAAATTGAAAAGTAAGTGAAAAGTATGTTCATCAGAATCCCTGTTGTTTTGGGTTTGAGTCAGTCTATGTCCGTTTATCAATATGTGTACTTGTGCGTTCTCATGTGCTCGTGTACTCGTGAAACGTCGTCAGCCTCATCCCTAGTACTGTTCCAATGCACAGTCCCAGATGTTGTTCTCACCCCTCCCTCTACCCAGCATACATCAGAGCAGACTTGTCCTGTTCTTGAGATTGACAGCTGTCCCAGAATGCACTGCAGCAGCAGCAGCTTTCAATGGTAGGCTCGCAGAGCTCAGAGTATTATTATTTTTCTGTTGCAGTTGTTCAATAAAATTATGTTTTAAGATTATTCTAGGCAAGAACATTATGCTTTTAAGTGTCACTATATGGCCCATTTACTGATTCCAATGTTTAGAGGACGGCGGCAACCAGTGGACCTCTGAGGGTAACAGCAGCCAGGTCTAATCCTAGCCCGTCTGCAGCAGCCCTCTCTCTGCATAGCCGTATGTGAAGGACCGCTGGCTCTGATGGCCAGTTTTTGTTTTATTTGGCAAAATTTGATTTGTGTTTATCTGACTGTGTTAATTATTATTACTCCACTAAATGAAAAAATTTAGAATTATCTTTTTTTTCTAAACATACCGTATTTTCACGACTATAAGGCGCACTTAAACGTCTTTTTTTTCCCTCAAAATGTGCGGTGCGCCCTATTGTGC